CAGGTACAAGCGGCTGAAATGGGATTTTGAGAAGAGTAGTTGGAGTTACGCAGAGTACAGAAATCCGAGATTGCCCAGCAGACCTGCAGAATACCTAGGGACGACCAAGATTAATCCGTGGCAAGTGTATTGTAGGTGTCTGTTGTAGACTCCGGTTGTCTTCTGCCCATACTCAGACGCTAAGGTGAAGTGAAGTAAAGAACAAGAAGCAATTAAAGCACAATAGCCAAGCAATACTAGATACCCTTATGGCGGAGCCACAGTTCTTAGGCCGAGTTGTATCTAGAATTTTACTTTTGTCTACTTCCTCTCGCTGTGGATTTATTCCTCTATAACCGCTGCAATATTCTTCCTCTTCCTCCAATTTCCTTTCTTTCGAATTGTTTTGTCGGTGTCTAGCTGGATGATATGGTTTCTCATGCTGTGTAATGCTGCTCCCAAACCTTCCTCGTCTGCAATTATATGCAAGTCATGCTTTCTCTATCGTTTTGGAGCTTCGCACAATTTTCCCAATATGTCTATCGCCACAAGCGCAACCGGTACAGAACGACATCCCAGAGGTCGCTCCATATGATAAGATGAATTTCTTATACACAACAGCCCTTAAGCTCTGCAGAGACGCACACACCCTAAGGAAGCATTTGTTAACGAAACGTATCGTTTCACTCAGATTTCTTTCATATAAAGACACCATAACGAGGGTTGCCATTAAAAGTTCCTTGGATATTTCTGGTACAAATGAATGCCGTTGAGAAACCAGTCGACTTTTCAGAACTGTTCTCGAACGAAGTTTACGGGTAGCAGCTGTTTCTTAACTTGCTAAAAAAATTCGCCTTCTGCTCCGGAAGACTGGTGGAGTTTCGGGATATATTCACTTCATTAGGTAATGGTTTTTATTCGTCCCACTGCTACAGACACGTGTGTGCGGAATTTGCATTTTATGTATCTTCCGGTGTGGGTACGCTTTTTATTTTTATTTATTTTTTAGTAGACGGTAGATTTTAGTATATAGCTTTTCATGTATGCCAGGCCATCCATAAACCGTCAATTTTCATTATCTTTCACTCTGTGGGTGGATTGGATCTTATCTTGAATGCTGTTAAGATGTTCCAGTAAGTCGTTGAGCTGGTTCAACTCGCGTTGTTAGAGGATCAGGTTGTGTGGGAACACATCACCCAGAAAAGCAGAGCAAACGAGAGCAGTTTGATAGTTCGAGAATGCAGTGTCATGAATAACCACGCCATCTAGTGCGACTCCAGTAAAACAATTCAAAAAGAAAGAAACTTCAGAAAGTACATGGAAAAACTGAAGGCAGAGCAACAAATTCACTGCGTGATAACAGACGAGAAAAGACCCGCGAAGTCAACTTGGCTTGTAGCCAATTCTGCGTCGTGGAAATTTATCACCTGATATCCTAACTTTAATGCTGTTTCTGTTTACTGGTCTTTATTTCGAAGTAAATCCATCTGTGAGCTGCTGATCGCAAGAGCCTTCTATGCTCTGATATTCAAGGAACGAACTTAGTTCCAATAGGCAGACATCGATAGATAGCTAAACCAAATTTCACCCATGCTACAGGTCGTTTGCCACCACCAGGTGTAAGATCGTTGACAATCCTTGATCTGGATTCGCAACAATCTCGCATTATTCAGCTCGCTGTAAATTATTTAAACGGTTGATGAAAAAATTTATTTATTTAAGAAAATCAGTAATGATATCTAATTTCAAGCCAGACTCATTCCCAGTGACGCTGCTTGTAAGAAACAACGTTTATTCAAATCAAAATTAGGACTAAATGATTTAAAATAAAATTAAAAGAATAATTGAAAGTTCGAAAACTGAACACGATTAATTTCTGCCGCTTTGCTCCAAATGGATATGTTTGTCTCAGCGTACTTTGAGAAAGAACCTGGTACGGCTCGATATGCTGGTGATTTGTGTAATAATAAAAAAAGACATGAAGACCAACTATAACTCCATTTGTAAAATTTCGCCAAAATCTCGGTAGTGAAATTTTCTTGAAATTGTATCTACTAACTGAATTTTTTCTTTAAATCTATGATTTAAAAAGCTGCCAGGAAACATTTTAAGGCCATTCGAGCTTAGCGTTTCAGCTGTGCAAACGCCATGGTACTGGGGAATACGCGTTTGCAACCAGGCTTCTAGATGCCCCTTAAGTTTGCGTCGCGTTTGGTTTCAAGTGTCCACTGAAAGACTAGCGTTCAGTTGAATACGGCAACATTTGGAATGCCACTTTTGCTCTGGGTCAGAAATTTAAACGGGGTCGTTGGTATTCAACGACCGTACGTGAAAATTTCACCTCACCTGTCTAGAGTGATCACATTTTTGTAGAAACGGACAGG